TATGAAAGATTACGGGAAGAACTATACAGGAAAAAATATATCCACTAATTAAGCAACAAAATATTTTAGTCCACACAATATGTCCTAGGAGTATCATAGCAGCAATTACAAGAGTTAAATGCGTTTTCTTTCTCAGTAACAGTTGTTAATGAACTCAGAAATAGAAGCTACTTGCTACAAGGACAACCCAGTAACCTACCGGCGGACACTTGATTCCTCTGTCTCAAACAGCATCCGGAAGCGCATCCCAACAGAAACACGTGTGTGATAGACCGCCTTGACATACTTGGTCAGTGGTATAACAAACTCTGATGGACTGGCCCTGTGATGGACAAGGTAGATTTTTAGAAATAACAACTAAAATCCTTCTTTTTTTTCTAGCTTAGATGAACATACAATACCTTGGATTATAGAATATTGTAAAACGGCTATTTGTCGCAGCCGCATGAGCCGCAGCAGCAAGAAGCCCCAAGTGCATGCTATCGCTTGATAAAACTGATGAAGGCATTACTGTCTGTGGTCGATTAGCCCGTCTAATACCAAGAAGTAATTGATTCTTTTCATTCCTGATAACAGAAAATGTATCCAAGTTTAAACATTAATAAGCAATGGCCTATCCATACTAATAATATTCCTAACATGTTTAAACAGCAATCGAACTGAAACAAACATATTCTCATTAAAGGAAATGAAATTGTTAACCAGGTGAATAAATGGAAGAACTCAATGTATGCAGAGAAGTCAATTGCCTACCAGATAAAGAGGACTGAATCACCAGCAACAAGCCTTTTAGCACTTACAAACACACTCCATCCTGTTGTAAGGAGGTGCCTTTTGGGTTGCCCTGCACGAAGAGAAGTAGATGATTGTTAAAAAACTGCATCCTTCATATGGAATTCACTCATCTTTTTAGCTTCAACGGTGGGACTATAAATTTCTTCCATTATACATGGTAGATAAATGAAGAACTTCTCTAATCCAGAACAGTGACCCAGTGTTCCATGCAACATGATGAAATTCACCAGCCATTGGTTAAGAGCACATACAGGAAGTTTGCAGCATATAAGAACAAAGATATACTGATGTCCAAGGAACTTATTATGATACAAAGTGACAAGAATACATTTGAAGAAGTCATCCAGAAAACTCACCCCGAAAAATATGTCTAAATTTCCATTCATTATCATGCAGATCCCTCGCAATAAGCTCTTGAGCTGGAGGCTGCTGTGAGTAGTCCTGCACATCAGGAGTATGACACTAAGAACACAATGTAAAAAATGTTCATATAGAACTTAAAATCCATGATCATATTCCACAACTACAAACCAATGGTGGGAACACTTTTTCAGCTGCCCGGCGGGGGACCGAGAACCCCCCATGAGTACTCGTGTCGCTAGCTGTCAACGTTTTACAAAAATAATTTGTTGGCTGTCTGCTGGGAGTGCCCAATTCAGCAGGAAGGTAGGCATCCTTTTGCTCTTGCTGCAAAAGAAGGACCTTTAAGATGAGAAGATTTTAGAGTATCTTTAATATGTCTAAAGGAGCAAGCAAACCAAGTAGCATACCGGACTCAGTGGTTGCAGAGTCATTTGCGCGTAGACTTCATCAGTTTCCAAATCTGCCTGCAGATTACAAGTTTCAGATCCAATAGCTGACAATTAAGGATATTGGAAAGACAACCTATATAAACTGAATAAAAGCCTTACATGCATGGTAACATTGTGAAGTTGACAGATAAGTTGGGGAGGTAAGCTTGGGTAGTTAGGAATATGAGTATCCACTTCCTTATTGGTAGATGCAGCAACCTACATGCATAAGCAACAAGATAGTTTTAAAAAGTAGAATCCATAATTAGTAATGCATATCAAAATACATGGATCAGTTAATTTGCAAAAAAGAACGTGCCAAGAACTAGATTCACGAGTTCAACGTAAAGAGGAGTTAAAAAATGAGAAATGAGCAGAAATGAATCTAATATAGCTCTAGGAAAGGATGCAGAAGTAATTAATTATGATAAACTTAGCTCCGTATCTGGAACATCAGACCCAAAAATAAACCAATACCAATATAAAAATCGTGTGGACTTCCAGTCTTTTCACCCGTTGACCATTAATTCACACATTATTTTCAAGCCATAAGTAGAGAATATTTCCAATAAAGATGAAAACAACATTCTCAACCCATTATAAATTTACCAAACATAAATCAATATATGTAATTTTCCAATACTGAACATGCCTTCTAACTCCATCATTGCAAACTCAGCTATCCGTAAAGTGACAAACTACTGACCTGCTCACTATGACCCTGTGGGAAATAGACAACTCGGCTGCCAACGGGAGGAAGAGAAACAAGAGGTCCAGCACATGCATGCCAAAGTTCAGAGTTCAGTACCCGTTTTTCCCCTGCAGAATTCAAGCGCAATAATGTAAAAGAGCAGCACTTTTACCCTAAAGAAATTATTGTACGGCCACCAATTGCTAAAAGCAGAAGGCTGCAATATAGCAGCAGAGATAAATTTCATTTATGCATGTTAAATAAAGGAATAATATTAAACAATGGTGGAAACCATAAAAAAGCATACATACACCCAGTTACCTAAAGATGGAAAAGGGACATGAAAATAGCAAGATTCAGTCAAATTAACACTTTGTTCACAAAGAAAGTGGGGAAACGTAAAAATAGTAATTTTGTTTCTAAAAGCAATTTTTTTTTCAGGAGCCTAGCCACTCCACTTATTAGCCAAAAAGCAAAAAAATAGAAAAACCAAAGATTTGGACTTTCAAGATTTTACCATATCTGCAATTTTGGCACATATTCTCTCAACAGTCCAGGAAAGCTACAGAATTAAAACTCAAACAATCCATTCCCACAACTGAATTCTCAGAATGAGAGGAAGAGAGAGGGGTAGGGAAATGGGGAGAACAACAAACTTAGAAAACAAATAGTAAGTCTTGGAGAAAATAGTTAGTTTGCTACCTTCTTGAGCTTGTGGATTGAAACCAGCTGAAGAGAGCCTCATTTCTTCAGATAGATTCAATGATATCTTAAAAAACTTAACTTGAAGAGCCACCACGACATCCTAAACTATACTGCCTGACAGTTATTATGATCACCGAGAGAACGCATCACCTCTCTCTCCTTCC